GCTACCAGAGCTGATGTAGAGCAGGGGTCTATATAAATACATGTATTTAGCATTAGTAAATATCTTGGCAGTTAACTAATGTGTACTAACTTTAAATAGTGTGTAGACATAGCTGGGGGAATGATCCCGAGATTTACTATGTGTGCTAGCTTTACACTCTTTATAATTTGCTATTAGACTCCTGTATGGGTGTGTGTGTAGCTTGCCAAAACTCTGAAGACCACATGGACGTACGTAGAATGGATACTAATCAAAGGGATCAAAACTTGCAAAAGTAGGAGGATCAGAACGCATAGAGATTGATTTAAAACATATTTCAACAATGAGGATTATTTGAATTGGTCCATATGCTTTTCCTTTAGCTAGTGGATCATCTTTAAAATGATGCATATTTGAACGTTAAATATCTGCTTCTTGTACGTAGAGGGTTTTATGATGACCCCAGCATACATTTATTTATTAAGTTGGTGGGTCATGCCAGGAATAGTGCATGTACATACGTAGCAATTTGATGTCTGATCGTGGTGGTCGTGTGGGGCGCGAATACTGCGGGAAGGGGCTCTGTCTCATTCTTCTGCATCTAGCTAGCCAAGAACCTTAAATCAACGTCCAGACAAACTCTTTTATTTGCCCGGCCTGATCTTCGATCCTCTCTACAAACCTCATCCTCCACTTCTTCCAGATCAGCTTCCATCACGCCTAGACCTTCAAATCATCCATGGAGTATTCCTGTATACTTCTTGGTGAAACACAAGGAGTACCAGTGGATTTATTTGAGACAGCAGAGGTGAGTTGAATTTGGTAGTACAACGGTGGCTAATGGTGGCACAGGTGGCTGGGTTTAATTCTTACCCAACATCGTCAGATATTACTAAAACCATGATACGCATATACAGTTCCAACGATCTCCTAAAGTCTCTCCAGTCGTCCACCCTCAAGTATTCCCTGATTGTTTTTGAGAAACTCCAAACACAGAATTCGACACAACCTATATTGTCGTCTTTAAAAGAGCACAGGCTGCTAAATCATACCTTTGTGATCACCTATCTGTCCGATTAGGCGGTTTCACCCACAACGGCTATAAACAACTAGTGCTTTATTCAGCGGCATAGCGAAAATGATATATATGAGCCAATTCAGACGAATTCAATAGCCAGCTTTGACTTAAGCAGCTGTTACCAGACACCTCTGATAATCCAGGTCAATATCAAAGATCCATGAGGGAAATCTCTATGGCTCAGCGTACTGTCATAGAGAAAATTGAATGAAATCTCTTTCCCCGGATCTGCCCACCAAATTTTGCTTTTCATATTCTTCTCTATACATACATTCAGTCAACTGAATCTTTCATCAACATCGCAGCGAATGAGAGGCCTTAGAATGAAGAGTGAGAGTTGGGCCCGCCATGAATTCTTCCTATGACTAGCCGGCAGTTTAACTACGCTCTCTCTTGGAGCTCTATTCATTCCAGGAATAACAGCTTGACACCCCCCTCCAAAAACAGGCCGACAGATTAAATTCCCTTGTATAGGAAATTCACAGGCGATTGGAAGTTAGTAATGAGCTTTTATGGATGTTTTAGCCATTATATGGCCTCTAGAAAGCTATGTCTCGTATGAGTCCGTATCGCATGTTGCGTCACAACGAAGAATATTGAGAATAAAGCTTTGAATGGCTTTCAAAAGGCCCCAAAGGACTCCCGAAGCCTCCGAGAGTTTCTTATTCCGGATAAACCTACGATTCCGGAGTTCACCTGGTACTCCACTAGCATTTTTAAACCAACCGAGACTGTTTCGGGAGTTGCACACAAGCCCAACCATTTGACTCTTACTGAGAAAATTTAAAGCAAAAATGATCCCGGGAATTCCCGGAAAGATCTCACCAAGTGGAGGACAATGGAGATGGTTTTTTTGGCACTGGTTAATGTTGTGTGGCAACCAAGAATCACAAGACTACACGTAGCAAACATGACACCATGTTTCCTCGTTTTACCACAAAACACCCCGGTCATGAAAATATTATCGTATACAGCCTTTCTCGTTTCTTCTCAGCCTCACACTTCATGGGCTCAGGCCCCTATGTTGCCCGGCTCGGGCCGCAATTCCACTGCAGTACATGATCTGCTAGTAGACCTAGACCTTCCGTCCTATGTGCACTGCGGGATGTACAAAACCCGTAAGTAGACACCAGGCCTATACTAGGTTTCATCCTGTATCATTAGGGCTATCGGCAGTTCAAGATAAACCAGTTACTGTTGTGTTCTAGAATAAAGTAGCCTGGAACTTGTAGTCTACGGAAAGAAGGTCTAATACTACAAAGAGTTAATAGTAATGCCGGTTACGTACGTTGGGGAAGTGCACTGCAACGTTGGGGAAGTGCATCACAACGTCGAGTAGAAGACAAGGGTTTATCATTCACTCTCTTTGTCAATTCCGGTCTGGAGAATAACAAATGGATAGAAGTTCTTTGTCTGTATTATCTACGAATGTAGAATGGCACGAGCATAAGTTTGTACAGCCAAATTCTTAGTCACAACTTATCACTCGCAAGCTTTATGATCATCCCTAGCCTGGTGCCTAGCCGGCATGCTGCATTGCCGGTGATAGTATCTAGCTAGAGCTTTTTGACACATTCAGACGCTAGGGTAGATGATATCAGGGGGCATCAAGGATTAGGACGCGAACCTATCAAAACTTAAATGCTTCAGAAACCACGCTGCAGACAAAATGTTCATAAAAGTGCCGGCATTTCTCTGATGAAAAGAAAGAGCGGGCAAGGGTGAATACATCTCCGCTGCAGAAGAGGAGGGGATGACAGAAATATACAACTAAGGTGGAGCATATGGTTGGCAGCTGCTCATTCGCCAAGTCAAACAATGCCTACAGCTTGACGATCGCAAGTTGAAGTCACTACAGCGTGTGGTGGAATTACTGTTGAAATATTTGAAAATTTTTATTTGCCTTGCCAGCAATGCAGGCCCTGCTCACAGATCCCTGCTTCTACATTTCACTGTAGTGTTAGATGCAGCTCTCGTTTAAAACTTCTATGTTAATAGTCCTGTGGCTCGGGACGCTGTGGTGGGTGTATCCTGTGGCGAAAATTCGGAGCATCACAATCCTGCTTAAGGATACTAGACTTTCGAGCTACTTGAAGTATTCTAGCCAATGAGAATTTCCTACTCCAGAGGATACTCACAAGCCAATGCTTCTCGGCCATGAAGAGGTCGTTTTGCCTGGGAAAAATAAAAAATAAAACCTCCCTAGTCAGAATAGAGTTGGTAATTTTTGCCCCCCTCCCTCCCCCATGTACATCCACTTAATTAACCAAAGGCAGAAAAGTCTTTTTTGTATTGGGTTGGTCGATCGATCATACTTTTCCGCCTAAAACTTACTTATCTAAACGTCTCACTAAAAATACCCGAGGCTCCGGCCACGTTATACCCTATAAATTATATCGATCATGGCCATAGGTTAGGGACCATAATTCTGCTGGAGCTTCATATAATTCTCTTTACTATACGTACCTTTCATCTCAACATTTCAGGGGAACGGTAGTGTTTTAGTGTGACGGTTACGCACATCCCAGTGAGTGATAGGGTGGAGAGAACAAAGGCCATAAATAACCATTGTTATATAGATTAAAGGGTCCCAGCAATTCTCCGGCTAGCTTGGTAAGATGGTGCGGGGTTGGATATCAATTCTGGAAAGAAACCCAGCTGCAGTAGTAATAGAGATTCGATATAGCGGTGCTCATCACGTAAGGACAGTTACTCTAGATCGTGTTGATTAAACTACATATGACTTTCCCCACGTACGATTGGTCCTATATGAATAGCAATATAGTCATTAGAAAACAGTCAAGCTGGGAAAGGTGCACTTGTCGCTCGTATGCTTGAATAACCGGTATCCAAGTTGCTGCAGGGCCAGGATTGATCATGTCACTTAGACATTTGGCATATGCACATTCTCCTCGGAATTCCCAATATGGGGTATCGAATGCCGGTATACCAGAAACAATGTGGAGAAAGGGAGGTACTCACCTTTTTCTCAGTGCCCAGCGGGTAGCGGAGCATCTACACATCAAGGAGTGGGGGGTACGGGTTAAACCCCGCACGCTGCATATGTCTTTATTAAACTTTGCTTGTCTTTTTTCCCGAAGTTGACGCGAGTGGCGAGTTGAGGGACAACACTGCTTTCTTGAAGAGTTTTATCATGGTGAGGTTAGGCTTGTGTGTTAGTCAATGGACCCAAGTTTTCTTATCCGTCACACAGACTGTACATCACGACCAGAAAGTGTTGGAATCAAGACGCAATGTGTATACGGAAACCAGGTTTGCTTAGGAGATGATGTGAGTCTTGTGTATCTTCAGCAGAAACGCTGCAGAGGACCAGCTTTCTAGAATCATATATACAGATCACCCGCGGGTTTCTGATTCGCTCGCTTTGTCGCACATGTACATTCTCATCTTGCTTTATAAGACCTGAACCTGACCATGTGGCTTCGTGGCCAGTTGCCGACTATATCAGAAAGACAGGTATGAATATACCGGATCAAAAACTATAACAACAGCTACAACAGCCCAAGCCATAGTTGCAACTGCTGTTGAAGGAAGATCGATTCCGGCCGCAGAAGAAAATCTGACGCACGCGTACACCGTTACGTGTTTGACCACAAGTCACCTGCTTATTTGATATCACGAACGTCTAGGTTTTGAAAGCTCCTGACCATTCCAAGAAAGCAATCTTATCTCATCAGGTGCGACTTCTATATGATTTAACTCCTTAGAGGCATCAATGAGCTCGGAACCACCTTATAAAAGAGCCAGTTACACGAATTATTGTTTCTGGATAGCTCACTAATCTCTTACTATACTGCTTCTAGATCTGTTTAGACGCTGGAATAAGTCTAATATCAGTGTTTACCTAGGGTCGAGGATTGCAGTATGTAGTTAGGACTCATTGCTATCTACTATTATTATACTGACAAAGATTACTTAGGTTATGGAATCGGATCCTAATCCTTCAGGTAGTATCTGGCGTTCATATGACACTGATATAAAGGTAACCAGTCTAGTCTCGTCTCTAATATAATCCAAAGTGACAAATAAAGGTCGGGAAAGAACACTGTGACATCTAATTATTCCCGAGTTAATAGACGTCTTCTACCGGCTTTGGACATATCTTTACGGACCAGCCGGTGCCAGAAATACACCACATAGGAATGTGGGAACCACAAGAAACCCAGGAAAAGAACAGGTTCATTGATGATGCTGATTGGGTGAGTTGTAATTCATTGACAGGCGTCTTATACGTAGTCACCTAAGTCATATCATGCCAGTTAACTTATAAATTTTACAGTTCCAGCCTCCCAGAGAATCCAGCATCTTAGTACAATCCTACGGCAAATTTTCACCTCCTTGCTATCATCAGGAGGATCAAGATTGGAGCTTTGATACACAATATCCACTTGATGTTGGAGAGCAACAGGGAGAAGAGGAAATACAGGATGAGATGGTGGGTATACGCACAGCAGCAGGGACGGGAACCCCTACGAGTTTACTATCAGATAATAAAACACAACCAAACACCCCAGAGAGCATAACGGCACCGCCAAATTCACCCGAATACGTCTCTACTATCCCAACCCCAGCCGTTACCCCCTTTAAGTCCGGTACTCCCAGTTTCACAGCCGCAGCTCACCAAGCTGTTGTTGATCTCTTCCCAGAGATTGTGGACACCTGTATCTTCAGAGTAAAACCAACACTCCCGGAATCAGAAACTCAGAATATATCATCTATCATTCAGGCTTATCCTACAGAGGAAAGCCATGAAACCTACCACTCGTTACCCTTTTCTAACCCACGGGCCTCGAAACGAAAACGAAATAGTGATATGTGCTCCAGATTTAATCAAACACCGTCCTCAATTCCATTCGTCCCCATTGAATCACCGGACATCGAGGATCCTCAAAGGAGAGATAAGCTATCGATATCACCACATCCCACAGCTACGCAGCCCTCTTTTGCCGCCACCTACACTGTGGATGCATATGAGCCACTCAAAAGCGGTCATCTATCACAACTATCTTCCGATCTAGTCAATTTAGATTTGAAAAATGTATTGCTTCCCGAACCCCACATGATTCCACCGTATAATTTTAATAAGCTTACCGGGAAAGCAGTCAGAATTCTCGCACGTATTCGGAATCCCGGAAGAAACCCCAAGCCCTAACATTACAATCTCCCCTCGTCACCTCTCTAAGCTCAAACTCCCCTCCACACCTCCACCAAAGAGCGTCTTCGATCCTGAAGGGCTTGAAAAATATCACGACTTTTCTAGGTTTATCTCAGATCAAGAATTAATAGATAGCGATGAAGCGACCATGTCCGACAATGATATACCTTCGCCTTCACCAGCCTCGACCCCTACCTCCTTCATCTCGAGACCGCTACCGGACTCAAAAGAGCTACTGAGGGAGCAAAATCGGCTACTTCTGCGGTGGAGATCCGAAGGTATCAGCTATCGTACCATCAAGAAGAAACTTGGAATCAATGAAGCCGAGAGTACTCTCCGTGGAAGGCTAAGAACTTTAACGAAGCCCAAAAGCGAAAGGTTGAGGAAGCCACAATGGACAGAAGAGGATGTTTGTCATTCAATCACTCCATCTAAGATGATATTTTTGGTGTACTAACTAACTAGAGCAGATTGAACTACTCCTCGAGATAGTTGATCCATCTATTTTGGGTGTGAAATGGAAGCAAGTATCAGACACTATAGTAAGTCTTGGCGGGAGCTATAGGTTTGGCCCGAGTACGTGCAAAAAACAGTATCTGAAACTGGTGGAAGAGGGTAGGGCAAGCCCCCTATTGGGGTGCGGTACTGTTGTGGGAAAGAGATCAAGAATAGAATTCAAGGTAGAGAATTGAGGAGACAAGAGTATGATTTTATACTTTTGAGCTTGGCGGAGGTAGCCCATATGTTTGCTGCAATTTAGCCTGGTCGGTTTGATTTCACGATATAGATAGTATGCGGACTAATATAGCGCCTTCAACTCTATCTAACCCGCCTCCAACACTTGAGAATCTCATTTCTAGATTAGTTTTTTTAATACAATTTACGAACATTCGGGAGCAGTGGGCCAATCAGGAGGACCTACATGTAATACGTGAAGTGACATAGCATTCTTAGATCTATGGTATGTAAGTTAACTGCATGATTGAGCTGTCGTTTCGCGTAGTTCGGTATCGAGTGCAGCTCTAGAAATTCACGTCATAGGCTATCACTCGATTAACCCTGATGACTGATCCAGCCCGGAAGATACCTCATGTTTTTGCCCCTTAGTTTCGTACTGGCTTTTGAATAATACTACCTTCTCCTGGCCGGCCGGTTAGGTCTTGGGAAAGAAAGTACACATTGGTGCATACTTACAAACCAGGGATGTGCTCGAGGCAGGCAATAAGAACCTGAAAATGCAAGCTGCAAGCAGGGGCTCAATTTGGTGTAGCTTTTCGCCAGCCGCGAATCAGAGGTCGTTACCATAAAAAGTCATTTTCAGGTTCTTGCCTGCCCCGAGTAGTGGTATTATAAAAACAGGCTCTCTTAGGGACCATCCAACTACATCCGAGACATCCGCCTCATGGAACGGGTGGGGTTGAGTAATCCCCAACACACTCGATCTGCCGGCCAAATCTGTTGAAGCTTCCCGATCGATCTCGGAATCTCATGGTATTTAGCGAATAACTACTAAACAAAAAGCTAAGACAGTAGCAGGCCCTGCAGTGGCCACACATCTGAAAAGGATTACTAATTGATATGATCACCAAAAATGTGAGAAATGCGCAGCGCTTCCAAATAGAGCCTCATCAACGCCACAGGATTGGTGCTCAAATCATGGGATTCCGATCATTTCCCTTTGACATATCTACATGATCGATGTACATGTACAACTTGAGAAGTATCTAATTAGAACCAGTTATTAAGATGCTGTTAAGCTTTTACACTTCGGGGTTTTGATACGTATGAACAGGACACGTAACCAGAGCTTTGTAAAGCTTGAAGGATATGGCAATCTGTATGCATGGTCAAAAGAACAACTATGAGAGACTAGACTATACGGTAGTGCAGAAACGGGGTTGGAGACGTTTCCCAGCTATGAAACTCCTCTCCGCTCTCTCGTCTGGGGTGAAATAGGGAATTACATCTATTTTACATCTATTTATATTGCTTACCTTATGGAAAGATGTTGTACAATTGTGGTACTTCATACATGCATGTCAATAACTATTACACTTTTCACGGCATGTATCGCCTGCCTCGGATCCACCAACACCCGGTTTCAAAATGGACATCTCCGATGATCTGCAGAACATTCTGAAAGTCCCATTGTCCCGATCCTGTTTCAACAGAAAAGTACTCACTCTTCTGCTACTGCGTCGTCCTAGCGCGGTGCTGTGCCGGGCTAGTGTCAGAAACCGAAACGAATGTTCGGGCCGTGTGGGATGATCATATGAATGGCCTAATATATACATATATTGGTAGTGATGAGCTTTGCGCTTTAGGCTTTAGTTGATGCCATATCAATATAATGGGAAAGAGTACGGCATGAAAGCTCTTCCCAGCAGGTTGGTTGTTCGATGAAAAAACACTCTCACAAAGATTCCTGTTTTCGATTCCGCGTAGCACAAGGAACCCCACTTCTGCCCTCTCTCTCTCCTCTCCCTATGTGTTGCCGATACGGCCGGTCGGGACAGCAGCCATCGAGAAGGTGGAGATGGCTAAGACTTACGAACCGGTCCATGCATGTGATCGAATCAGAAACAAATAATAATGCAGATCGCTTGTTTTGAGGGCAAAGAGTACTGCTTGGCTGGCTCTGAGCACGGGTAGTGGGGATCGGGACGCCTGCTAGTGGAATCAATTGTTCGGCTTGCAGAAGTGAACTAAGCCGTTACGTACAATGCAGTAACCTGAATTATGGATACAAGGAAAGAGTGAAATGAAATAAAATGATTGATACTACGAAGTTAAGAATGAAGAACCCCTTTCTGAGCACGCCAGACAAATGAGAGAAGAACACGCTTGCTAAAGAGAAAGCAAAAAAAAAGGAGAGAAAGTAACGAAATTCGTCAAAACATAAGCTGTATCTACAAAGTGAGAGAAAACCAATAAGCAAACTGCGTTACGTTTTCACCTCATCGCAGAACGCAATAGCGCTCCAAAACTTAAACAACTTCCCCTTCTTCGAGCCGCCCCTCGCCTCAAATGACGTACCAATAAACACCCTGGGATCCCTCTCGTCTCTCCCGCTGAAATCAATGAACACACTGCAGAACACAGTCTCATTAGTCCCCAACCACAAATACCAATGATCGAAAGCAGACCAACATACCTCTCCGTCCCCAAGAAGTCCACATGCCGCATCCTCCTGGAACGGTCATAGTTCCTCTTTGAGCAGATCGTTGACCCAAAGAATGTTCCAAAGCTAATCTTGGCTTCCTTCGTCTTACTATTCGCGGTTCAGGTTAGCTAACTGTCCCCTCACCACGCACCACACCACACCACATATATCACATCTCTCACTTACTATTCTGCCAGCGCTACCATCACATCCCATACCGTCACGCCCGTTGCATTCTCGACTACGCAATATGGGTGGAACTTCAACACCTCGAACGCCGCCCAGGCCGTCGGTGGGTCTGTTGCATACTGCGCGCACACCGACGAGTCTTTCAAGAGCGCTGCTGGCCCATCACCGCGGCGCCCTAAGGTTGTGTCTGCGGCGCACAGTGAGGGAGAGAAATGAATTAGCCCAAAAACGGGGTGTAGCATGTATTTCTCCACCGGCGGAGAGGGCAGGAGGTGGGTGGGCGCGAGGAAGCGCTTGCTGCGAAGAGACCGGCGGGTCTGCAAGATATCATTCCAGAGGCGGCAGACCTGCTGGCAGGCAATGATGTCGTAGAGGTCAAGGTGGGCAAAGATGTCTTGGAGGAGGTAGGAGGGGATGCCGACGCGTGGGGGAGCCTCTGTCTCTGTCTCCGAGATTGAGGGGAGAGGTGTAAACATTTTAGGGAGCTTGCTTGCTAATTAATGGGGTAGAGGCAGGTAGCAGATTATTTGGGTTTTAGATATATAGCTAGTAGAGATCAAGACTGAACTTTGGTAGGGCCCACAAGAGGTCTTTATACAAGAGTTCTCAAAAAAGGGACATAGATATAGGTATATAACCAAATGCTCCATAGCTCCCCAAGCTCTACACTAGCTGCTAGCTAGCTGAGCCATAATCTGTCAACCCCAACTAAAAAAAAAAAAAAAAAGAAACAATCCAGTTGCTCCACCAAAGTCCGATCACCGAGCGCCCGCTAGCTGCCGTCATCGAGCTAAGTGCATGGCTGTCTATGGTGGAGGTGGCCGGTGCACACACACACGGCAATCTCCACACAGCTAACATAAGAAAATACATTTGTTTCCCTCTGATCAGCAACATACAGCGTGCACCGATATTCAGGGTTACCTCGCACAGTACATACTTACCTTCCTCTAATCCACAACTTCTTCATGTGACTCTGGAACACCCGGGAGCCTGGTTACTGGGTCTACATAGTTGCAAGGTTCACTTCAGTTGTTATCGCCTGATGATGTTGGGCCCTTGCCTTTCGACACTGCCAGCTTTGCCTTATCCCGAGTTACCCTTATCTTGGTCACCGACCGGCTAGCCCCCGAGAGGGTATAATATTCTAGGATTCTTCTAGAAACTTGGTTTGATATTCTGACGTGTGATTGCTGTTGTTAGAAAAAGGCGGTTTTATCATCTGTGAGGTCATATTGGCACTGGCCATAGGATGCTCCGTGCGATCAACACAAACAGGACAAATTAAAGAGAGGACCCTAGGACTAAATTATTTGGTATTAGTAGTATTAGTAGTGGCAGAACTCCGAACCTGCTATTGGCTGACCAGTAATAAGCAGCGCCGCCAACAGGCGCGTCCGACTGGCAGTCGACTGTGCCAAGCCAGGACTTTAAAGTGGGCAACGGACTGAAGTGGACTGAATGGACTGCAGTCGACTGTGGTCTAGTAGGAGGATCAGTCCGTCCAAAAAGTGGACGGACTATTTAAACTATGGACTGCATACCTACCAGAATTACCGAAATTAGATTAGTAAAATTGTAGTGATGTGTATAACTTGCGGAGTAGATAAGAACTGCGGGGGTGAAGTGGAGAACCAGTTCTTAGAATGAATTCCTAAAACAACAAAATGTCATTTAACGAAAATACAACACGCGTCGGAGAGAGTTCTAACTATTCACCATCTATAGCAGATACAACACCCTCCATAGCAGATACTGCACAATCAATAATTGAGCCACGTTTACTTCCAAGTAATCCAAATATACCAGCTGCGTTTTTACCGAAGTTAAAAGAAAGAACTAGCTGGGTTTGGAAACATGGATCTGTTTTTCAGTGTCCCGATAAGAATGGAATTCTCAAACAAAGGTGGAAATGTGATCTATGCCCTAATCCTGAAACAGCTATTACCTATGCGGATACCACCACCAAAAACGCGATTAATCATCTGGTAAAATTTCATGGATTTCATCAAAACGGTCAGCTCCGAACAGATCCCAACAACTCAAGCAATACTCAAAATCAACTCCTACCACCACCATCAAGCTTCAGTTCCATCAACACACCTCAAAAAATCATTTTTAACAGTGATGTCTTTAAACAACTATATCTACGATGGTGTAACGGCAGCCATACGTTTCGGTTATGCGAAGTGTCAGAGGATGTAAAGGAAGGATTGCGTAGTGTGTGTGGGATTTGTTAAGCGAGTTTCTATTATGTTCTTTTTGTTTCTGTTACGCGAGAAGATGAGTCATCGTGGGTTGAGGTTTGGATATATAAAGGGGCGTTGTCTCGGCTTTCTTCTGTTTCCTTTTCTTTTCTTTCTTCTTTACGCAACCTCTGTATTCTACTTGCTCGCTAAGGCTCGCAAAGAACTCCCTGATATCAAACCTCGCTTCAAAAACACTTTTATTTTACTCCCCTCGGTTTACCCTGGTATACCATACCAGGTTGAGCCACTTCGCCCTCGATCGTACGGTCGCGTTTGTTGTTCCTAGCGAAAGAAACACCACGAAAACTGGCTTCTAGCGAAGAATTCTCCAGCCTTGACCTCCCGAAAGGAAGGAAAAGAAACCTTTCCGAAACGTCACTCTACGCCGCCAGGAGAACTGGACATTCAATCATGTCGCAGCAAGCTTCACTCCAGTCCTTTTTCACCCAGTCTTCCCAGCAAAGGACAGCCCCCTCGCAGATCAGGAACACTCAGGTTCCCGACCCAACCCCATCCGGAGCTCAAGAACAGGAATTCTCCTCGACCTTTGCAACAGAATCCGACTACAACGACCCCTACCAACCGAGAGTCGACTACCTCTACCCGAGCATTGTCCCCCAGGATACTCACACCCAGACGGACCTGAACTATATTACCTGGGCCATCAGACATGCCACCAGCCGAATCTGCCCACCCACCGACAGGATTGAAATCCTCGAAGAGCAAACGACCACACTCCGGAGAACAGTGGATACACTGAGGCACCAAATCGAGGCGCAGACAACTATGATCACCAGCATGCACTCGGCGATCCATCTTCTCCTCAACAAACAACCACAACCGCAGCAACCGCAACAACCACAACAAAACCAACAACAGCAACAACAGCAACAACAGCGAAAACAACAACCGCAGGGACAGAGAATGCCCCCTCCAGCGGTCCCTCAAACAATTCCCCAAGCAGCGCCTCAGGCAGCCCCTCAGGCCCCCCCACCCGCACCCCCCCAACAAGCCCCACCCCGTGGATGGAAAGCAGGCATCTGGGCCGCCGTGGCCTCGGCACCCGGTCCTGCTCAAGGAAGTTTCCAGGTTGTTGAGAGAAGAAAGAAGTCCGCAAAGCCAAAAGCGGACCCCCTCTTCAAGCCAGAATATACCAAAATCAACAGAGAAATCATTGTTGAAACCACTGCTCCATCCGAAGTCAATCCCTCCGAGATCAGGACCCTAGTCAATGCAAGAATTCAGGACGAATCCTGCCACTTCATCTCAGCAAGGAGAACACCCAAGGATAATTTTATCCTGGAAACTAAGTTTGTCACCCCAGCAACAAAGGCAATGGAATACGCCAAAGAAATCGAGGAGGCTCTCCTCACCCTACAAGTACCAGTCGCCATCATCCGGGCAAACTCCAAATGGTCAAAGTTCCTCATTCACGGAATCCCCACAACGGTCGGAGAAGGCGCCGAAGCAGGACAACTGGTAGCATCCGAAATTAGAAGCAACTATGGAGAGAACTTCCAACTTGCCCAGATTCCCCGCTGGATCTCCAGAGCAGAAACACGAATGGAGAAAACCCACTCATCAATGGTCATCACGCTCCCAGGACAAGTTACAATGGAAACATTAGGAGTTAAGTTCCTATCCCTCTTTAACCGAAGCTGCCACATCGAGGCCTTCCTCCCAACCTTCCCAGACACACAGTGCGTGAAGTGCCTCGAATACGGTCACCGCCAGGAGAAATGCAAAAACAATGGGAGATGCGGTCATTGTGCCGGAGATCACCTCACCAGCTTCCACCCATGCAATCAATGCCAGGGAGGATATAGATGCACCCACACCCCAATCAGATGTCTGAACTGTAAAGGAATCCATAAGGCCTCCGACCCAGCATGCCCCGAGAGAGTCAAACGCCGATTCCTCAACAAAGGAAAGGAAAACGCCCCACCCGCTCAAGACCCACCGGCCGCACCCGTTCAAGAGTTGCTTCCGATAGTTCAAGTACCAGCCACCGCCCCAGTCGGAGCCACACCCGTTCCCGAAGACGACCAACCCATGACAAATAATGCTTAGGCCTCGAACAACCGCGCTCGCACACCAACTCAATTGTGCACGGAGCGAACTTATTACCAAGGCGGCGGTAGAAGAAGCGGAAACAGATTCTAGTATTTATTTCCTATTACTACAAGAACCATGGACCTCAGCAGAGGGATACCCACCAGAATCAAATCTCTTTTATATTTTTACGGCCAGCAACACCAATACAAAATGTGCAACATACGTCCGCAAACATGCCAATCTCAAACCAAAACACCACTACACACACGATAATTTTATAGTATCGATCACGGTAGAAATCCAAACCAAAAAAACCCAAATCCTAAACATATACTCCCCAGGCCGAAGTGGCCCCTTCGCTCAAATAGCAAGTACAATCCAAACCCTTGATAACTGTCTAGTAATGGGAGACTTCAACTGCCACCATCAGATGTGGTACGGAGTAAATTCACATGAATACAGAAACAACATTCGAGCAGACTGCGTCAATGGCGCACGGTTAAAACGATGGATAACCCGACAGAAACTGACCCTCCTGAACGAACCAGGCGTCTTTACGCACTTCCCCAGAGACAGAGGGAAAAGGCCCACAACCATCGACCTTGCATTTGTAAAAGGCCCAACACTCGACCACAACCTACGATGGAGTACTGAACCCTACGGAGCGGGTTCAGACCACGGGAGAACCTCCGTCCACCTACACCTGGAAAAACCACCTTTTGTACCAAGACGAATGTGGCGACAAACAGACTGGAAGCTATTGGAGAACCACATGTCAAACATCTCCATCCCTGCAGAGGCATGGGAAACCAAGGAACACACGGAACAAACTGTCGATTTCTTCCTAGAACTGGTCAGGTCAACAGTCAGCATAGTAACACCACTCTCGAAGGAGGGGGTAAGAGCCAACTCCTGGTGGTCAGATGAGATGAAACAGATGAAGGCAAGGGTAAACGCAGCAGAAAGGAAGGCGAGAAATACAAGGAAATCCAATCACGTGGAGGAACACCGGAAGGCTTGCAGAGAATGGACAGTCATGATCCGGAAAGCAAAAGCGGACCAGCGGGAAAAGACGATGAACGAGGCGAAAGGTAGTGAAGTCTGGAGAATCCTAAGCGCAGGAAAGAGACGAGACACAATCATACCAACCATACAAGGTGAAGAAACGTTTGCGGGGAAGTGTCAAGCTCTAAGAGCCCAACTTTTCCCCTCGAAACGGACGTCCCCCGACCATCCCCCCTTGAACATTAGACCCCCCTCTTTTGACCTTAGCAACACCTTCGACATAGTCACCCCCAAAGAACTTAACAAAGCAATCGACTCCTGCCCAGCGCACTCGGCGACCGGCCCGGATGACATCCCTTATACCTTTATTAAAGCTATAGTCAAAGCAAACACAACTCTAATCCAAGACATGTTCTCCGCTATGCTCCGGCACGGTGTACATCCAGCGGAATGGAAAATAGCTAAGTGTATCCCGATCCCGAAACCCGGTAAAGCAAATTATCATGAAGCAAAAGCCTACCGGCCCATTTCCCTTCTACAATGTTTCAGCAAAATCCTGGAGAAGATAGTGGCCCAGAGACTCTGCACCGCTGGAGAAATCCTAGGCACACTCTCAGCAAACCAATTCGGAGGAAGACCAACCATCTCGGCAATCGATGCCCTCCTGAGAACCTTGACACCAATACAACAAAACCTACTACTAAAAAACAGCACCGGAATCGCCCGGCGAGATAGACCAGCGATCCTAACCAACGACATCCAAGGAGCATTCAATTGCGTCGATCACCTACTCCTCGCGGAAATCATGCACCAACAAAAATTCCCCACCTATCTGACAGAATGGTGCAAGGAATTCAACACCGGCAGAAAACTACAGTTCCAATTCAACCATGAGCTAGAGGAACCACAGCCCTATGATTCTGGAGTGCCGCAAGGTAGCCCCATGTCTCCAGTACTATTCATGATCTATGCTGGAGTAATCCTGGACCCAACTAGCAGCCCAAAAGAGATGGACACAACTTACATCGATGACGATGCGCTGGTGCAAATATCCAAAACACCAGGCTTTACAATCAAGAGAATGGAGGAACGAATGAGAGAAAGACTAATTAAAGCTGAGCCACTCCAAATCAAATACGACCCGGATAAATCCGATCTGATCTTCTTCCGGCCCACCACATCATCCACACAACAACCACGACTTCCAGTCAAAGTTAACAACATCGAGATATACCCCAAGGAGAGGCTGAAATACGTAGGAGTCTGGATAGATCCAACCCTCTCCTTCCGGCCCCATATCGAAGCAGCAATCGCAAAAGGCCTAAAAGCCCTCCACCAAATCCGAAACACCGCCCGCCTGCCAGGGATAACAGTCAAGACAGTTCATCACCTAATAACACAGGGCTTCCTTCCAAGCCTGCTCTACGGATCTGAGGCCTGGTGGACTGGCACAGACCACATCATTAGATCACTAGAACCACTATACAACGAAGCTGCCCGGATCATCACGGGCCTACCTCGATGGACCAAGAGAGCTAAACTCCTCCGAGAAGCAGGACTACCCCCCCTAGAATACCTCCTAACATATCGCTCAAGAAAGTACGGAACCAGAATACTCTGCACCGAGGCAACCCACCCCAACAATGAATCCCTAATTGAGCTCCTCCCATACAGAGAAGCAAACATTAAAGGGACAGGTCTACACCGAATCGCTTCCCTCCTACTCCCATATCAAACCCCCGGAAATGCGAGGGACAAGTGGAACCAAAACAAACTACTACGCGACCACCTGTTAGAAGAATGGAATACACAACCAATACCGGACTACCATCACTGGGGGGAGTTCCGCCCCCCTTCCAAGATTGCGAAACTCACCCTAACGGAGGCGAAAAAAGTTTTTCGAATCCGGTGCCAAACTACCCGAATCGATAAACACGCGGTATATACAGACCCCGAACCATGCCAGTGTGGTATGGAAAACTCAGCGAAACACACACTTATGGAATGCCCAGCGTGGGCTCGAACCCGTGCCCCCCTGATAGAAAAGATCACCGGAGCGATGACCTGGGAAAACTGGATGTTTACAAACTTGAAAACGGACCTTATCTTACAATTTGCAAAAAACTCTCAACTCTCGAAGTGGTACGAGTCGGCGGAAGCGGAGGTGGACCTAGAAGAGGGGATGGAAGAAAATGATTAGGGACGGGATTAGGAAAGGGCGGTTTCCTTTTACCTTTTTAACTTTGGTTTTTACTTTGTTTTGATGGATCCAGTGCCCGAGTTCGCTGAGATATGTTATTTCTCCTTGTCGTTGGGATTGTTTCTGGTTGAGTGTCGTTCTGGAATTTCCTTATTCTAAATGTTGATGTTCGTTCATGTTCGCTTTTGTTCTTGTTTGTTTGTTCGCGTTTGTTGTTTTCTTTCCTTTCGTTCTTTTGTTTGGTTCGTGTTTTAGGCGGTCGGGTCGGCGTGCGATAAGTCTTGTACTTCAAAGCAATATAAGTTTCTTCTTCTTCTTCTTCTGTATTTATTCCACGAATACTATTCTTTGTCCGCACTACGTCATAGGGCTCCAACCGGTTTATCATACCAGGTAGAGCCACCCCATAGTCCATAGTCAAAGTATACCTTTACGTCTACGTCCACGTCTACGTCACTACCTAGGTTGTATTCCTTGGCATCACAGTCTATCGCCTATAGTCCCCCTGATACGTAGGTTGCGTCCTCTATCGCCAACCAATACAACACCATAGTCCACAATGTCGGAACACGTTCATGTCGATTACCAACAACTCAACGATAACCTCCAAAGATTTTTTCAAGCGCATCCACAGGTCGACAACGTGGTCGGAGCTGAAGCTTATGCGCTTCTTCAACAGTGTCAAAATGGTCTTACTCAATATGCAACGGATTTACAGGAGATAGAAGCGGAGGCTGAGAGGGCAAGAAGGATATTTGAACGAGATCTTACTGCTGCCCGAGCTCAACAAACTGCTGTTGAGGTTGTGGCCCCTGACGAAGAACCTATTGGAAATGCTCCACCTGTACCTCCAGTGCCACCAGCTACAGGTACCACTTATCGGTCGGAGAAACTCCCAGATCCCGACGTGTTTAGGGGGGATCGTGATCGAGAAAGGTTACACTTATTCAAGCAACAAATGAAAATCAAGTTACTGGGAAATATCGATCGCTATCCTACACTACAGTCAAAGTTATCATATGCGTTCAGCAGATTGGAAGGTGCTGCTGCCAATCAGTTCTTACAGTACATGGGAGAAGAAGGTATTGCCTTACCTTCTATGACATGGTTTTACGAGATTCTGGATACAGCTTTTGGAGACCCCGATCGAATGCGTACAGCTAGGAGAAATCTCCGGAATATCAGACAACGTACTCGAACTTTCGCTGACTACTTCGCTGAATTTCAACGGTATGCTGCTGAGTCGGGAATGGATGAGGTCTCTCGGATTGAAGCTTTGATGGAAGGAATTAATGGGGAACTGGATGAATCGATGATACACCATGAGACTCCTGCAACGGTAGATGGTTGTGCAACACTCTTGCAACGGTTGGATAACCGACGACGGGCGGCGGAAGCTAAGCGAGGTAGTAAAAAACCTTGGACTACTACTGCGACCCCGGCTCCGCGTCCCTCACCAACAAATCCTGTTCCTGCTCCCCGTCCTGCTGCCCCTGCTATCAACCCACCTGCCACTGAGAATCACCCCTCGTTCCGTCCTGGAGGTGATGTACCCATGGATCTGTCTGGAGGACGTCGTCGCCCTACCCCTACCGAAAGAAATGCCCGCTTAGTTGAGGGCCGATGTTTCTATTGCGGAGGTGTTGGACATATGGTTAGGGATTGCCCCCAAGCGAGGGCAACGGGAAACCAACTAAGGAGGCCTGTGATGAGAGGAGCGGCGTTGACGGTGGAAGAAAATGGCGGAAGTGATAATGAGTCGGCAAAAGATTTGTCCCTGCACTAAGTGGCTTAGCCCAGGGACCATTTAAGGATTTTTCTAGGATGTGTATTTCTGGTTTTTCGGTATCAGAGGAGGAAATGGATGGAAATCAACTTGTAGTAACTTGTTCGATTTCACAGAATAAAAATTCTTTCATACCTACCTACGCCCTTATTGATACCGGAGCATCAGGATATGCTTTTATTGACGAATCTTTTGCACGCCACAACAATCTTACAATGACCCCCCTCAAAATACCCCGCCATGTAGACGTTATAGATGGAAGGCCTATCAAATCAGGAAAAATTACCCATATTGTCGATGTCTCGCTAGACATTCATGGTCATCGGGAAGTTGCGCTATGTTTTGTAACGAAGTTAGGACATTATCCGATTGTGATGGGGATACCTTGGATGCGACGACATGATGTTACGATTCGACCAAAAGAAAATCTACTTGTTTTTGACTCTTGAAGCTGTTGTCAATACTGTTCACTCAGTGGAACTGCAGTTATTGTTCATGGCATCTCGATTCCCTTACCGGAACACCATACGGTCATCGTTTCAGCAACTGAAAAATCTACGGTCAATATTGAACAATTAGTACCGAAAGAGTTTCACCATCGTCTCCATATGTTTAAAGAATACGATGCTTCAATTCTCCCACCACATCGACCATCCCACGACATCGAGATAATACTGGAAGAAGGTAAACGACCACCATATGGACCTATATATGGATTGTCTCAAATTGAGTTGAAAGCACTACGGGAATATCTTGATGAAAATTTACCTAAAGGATTCATTCGAGCCAGTGAATCACCAGCGGGAGCACCTATATTGTTCGTAAAGAAAAACGATGGAACTCTTCGACTTTGTGTTGATTATCGAGGCCTAAATGCGATTACAATTAAAAATCGATATCCGTTACCATTGTTAAAGGAAACCTTAGCTAAGTTGTCAAGAGCAAAATACTATACAAAGTTGGATTTACGATGGGGATATAATCAAATCAGGATAGCGGAAGGAGATGAATGGAAAACAGCATTCTGGACTCGATATGGACATTTCGAATATACAGTAATGCCGTTTGGATTAGCTAATGCCCCTGCTACATTTCAACATTGGATTAATGATATTCTACGTCCCTACCTCGATCAATTCGTAACGGCATACTTAGACGATATCCTTATCTATTCCGAGACCCTATCAGAACATAAAGAACATATTCAAAAGGTTCTAAAGGTACTTGATAAGAATCATGTTCACCTTAAACCTGAAAAATGTGAATTTATGGTTCAAGAAACAAAATACCTTGGTCTAATCCTTACTCCGAATGGGAATAGAATGGACCCAAAGAAAGTCGTCGATGTCTTAGAATGGACCACACCGACAAACCTTCGTGATGTTCAAGTATTTCTGGGATTTGCAAATTTCTATCGACGATTTATTCTAGGATATTCGAAAATTGTTGCTCCGCTTACAGCTTTGACAAAGAAAAACGTTAAATTTGAATGGACGGATGAAAGGGAGGAAGCATTTCAAACTTTGAAAAAGATGTTTACAACGGCACCGATACTAGCTCATTTCAATCCGGATCGAAAAATTGTGATAGAAACCGATGCATCCGACTATGTTTCAGCAGGAATCCTATCTCAACGTGACAATGAAGGAATCCTACATCCAGTCGCTTTCTTCTCCAAGAAACACTCTCCTGCAGAGTGCAATTACGAAATCTATGATAAAGAACTTTTAGCAATTATACGATGCTTCGAAGAATGGCGACATCACCTAGAGGGAGCTCAATTTCCAATTGAAGTTCTTAGCGATCATCGGAATCTTGAATATTTTATGACAACAAAATTGTTAAATCGTCGACAAGCCCGTTGGTCCGAATTTCTTTCACGCTTTGATTTCGTCATACAATTTTGGCCAGGAAAACAAGGAACAAAACCAGATGCATTGACTAGAAGGTCAGTGTAACAGGGACTATGGGCGTAGGAACTATGAAGCCAAGGAATACAACCGAGGCGAAGACGTGGACGTAGGAGGTTCGTGGACTATGGACTATGGGACCGAAGGGTACACCTAAGGCAAGAACGGGGACTGTGGACTATGGACTATGGATGGTTGTACCTGGTCTAGTATACCGGGTAAACCCTATGACGTAGCGCGAACCAAATAGTATTCGTGACTGTAAAGTACAGAGGTTGCATAAAGAGAAAAGGAAAAGAAAGAGAAACAAGAAATCACAAGACAACGCCCCCCTTATATATCCATACCCTATCCCAATGTTGACTCATACCCTCGCGTAACAGAAACAGAAAGAACATAATAGAAACCCGCTTCGCTAAACCCAACCACACTGCATAATCCTTCTCCCTGATACACAGACAACTCACATAGCCAACCCGCCTAGCTGCCGTTACAGTCAGGTGACCTACCTAAAGAGGGGGATGAACGGTTGACGCATCAGAGTCAAGTGATTTTGAAGCGAAAAAATTTGGATATCAAGCTAAGTTTGTTCGCGGGTTCTTTGTCAAATGAATCCGCTGAAGGAGCGTCCACTGTAGAGGAATTATTTTCAAAAGCTTACCAAGTCGATAGTTTTCCAAACAAGATCCTCACTATGCTTCGGAATGGCGTTCGCCACTCAAATAAAATCTCGCTTGCCGAATGTACGGAAGTTAACAACGGTCGGCTACTTTATCGAGGCAGGCTATATGTACCAGACGATGATGACCTCCGACTAAGGCTTTTAAAAGAATACCATGATAAACCATCCGCAGGACATCCGGGTAGAGCAAAGATATTGGAACTTCTAAACCGAGAATATTATTGGCCACAAATGCGAAAATACATCGATCAGTACGTTAGAAATTGCAATGTGTGTGTCCTTAGCAAGGCACCACGCAATGCACCTTATGGAGTACTTCGCCCTATGCCAATACCTGAGGGACCATAGATGGATGTATCAATGGACTTTGTTACTGATCTTCCTGAGAGCAATGGATATAATGCAATCTTGGTTGTGGTGGATAGATTAACCAAGATGCGACATCTAATACCAACGACTAAAGAGGCAGATTCAAGGGAAGTGGCGAGGCTGTATATCGATAATGTTTGGAAACTGCATGGATTACCGGATACTATTGTATCCGATCGAGGAACACAGTTCGTTGCAGAATTCTGGAGGTCGCTTTGTGATCGATTGGAAATATCACCAAAATTCTCTACCGCATTCCACCCTCAAACAGATGGACAAACGGAAAGAATCAATGCCGTAATGGAACAGTACCTCCGAAGTTATGTTTCCTACCAACAAGATGATTGGGCTCGAATGCTACCAATGGCTTAATTTGCGACGAACAACCATGCTTCCGAAACAACAAAGGTCTCCCCGTTCTATGCCAATTCGGGAAGAAATCCAAGAATGACTTTTGGCCCTTTGGAACATGGTCGAACGACGGCGGAGGATCAAGCGAACCGTATTGCAAGGGAAATGAAGGATATATTGGATTTCTTAAGAGAAGAGATGTTTCGAGCGCAAAGGATACAAGAAGAATCAGCCAATAGGAATCGAACTCCAGCTCCTCGATACCATTTAGGAGATAAGGTTTTCCTATCGACCCGTCATATTCTAACAAAGCGACCTTCTAAGAAATTCGACTGGAAACGTATTGAACCTGTAACGGGGGTCTCTTCTAAGAGGAATAGAATAGAGTAGAATAGAGACGGCCGTGCAAGATAGACAATCAGGTTGCAGATTATTCAAAGATACTATCGCTAGAACTCAATAATCTTTAAGGGCTCTGCTACCGATAAGAATTTGGTTTTCTTTCTGATGAAGACTGAAGAGAACAGGAATGAAAGGGCGAGAATGAACCTGAGTACTTATACTCCGAAGGCTTCTATTCTCTGCTCCTAACTCCTTTACTAAGTTCCGGTGGGCCTTCCCTCAGTACCGGAAACAATACCACCGCTACCCCGCTTTTTCTCTAAGCGTCAGCAGGTGTTTCCGATACCCAAGGCAACCACCCTTAGTCAAAGCCTTTGTAACACCTGCAGCCTTGGTTGCCACACAACCGAGGACCTGCATGAATGAGCTGCCGCTCAGGTGTAAGCTTAATCATTGCTGTAGAGCTTTCGCTTATTGTAGACTTCCCTAGCATAGTCCCTGCCCTTCGGCGGACTTACAATGCTCAGAGGATATAGAGGATCACCGGGCAATCAGAGCTTCACTCTGGCCGGTCTTCTAGTCACTGGCGAGGCATGGACTCGTCAGTCATTGCTCCCATGAATAGATCCCCCTTCCTAGCGCCCGGAATGTAGTTACTCTAACAGCTGGTAGCTAACCACACTGCCGGTACTTGCATATCACCGTGCAACTGGCTTCTAACAATAACTCTCAGCATGTAACCGGGCCCTGTGTGTACTCATACACCAGACAGTTGAAATGGCTCCGTTACACCACTCCCCTCTTCCAGGATCTTGGTCTCCGAGATCTATAACCATTCTATTACCATCCAATCTATGTGACAAGAAACTCCGTGATATGCAAGGAGCGAAAACCTAAAGGAAAACAAACTACAACCCAACAATCCGCTTGTCTCTGGGTTTCTTAGGATACCTCATATGGAAATCCCGAAGGGCTTCTTCAGCACTCTTCTTGAGATGCTCCCAAGGTTCCCATGTAGCATCCTCGTTTTCATAACCTTCCCATAGCACTAGGTATTCCACTAGTCTCCTCTTCTTGTTGACCCGGCTATCAGCTACCTCTCGGACAACCCAGTTCTGTTCTCCTTCAACCTCTTCAGGTTCCGGTGGTGGAACTCTTCTCTCAGGATCTACCGGTGCTCTGTAAGGTTCCAAAAGGGAGACATGAAAGACCGGGTGGATTCCCATTTGGGGGGGAAGAGAGAGCTTGTAGGCACGGGTACCAATAGCTTCTAAGACCTTAAAGGGTCCCATCTTCTTCTGATCCAGTTTTCCCAAAGGCCGCTTTGTTTGCACATTGCGCCGGTCCAACATTACTTCATCTCCGGGCTTGATTTCAGGCGGTGCCAGGGCATGAGCATCATACCACCGGGCCATCCTTAATCTAGCTTTACCCAAGCTGGCGTTCATAGCCTGCCAGATTGATTCCCATTGAGACATCATGACCTCGCTCGCTGGATTGTTCCATTCTACTCCCTCCTTTGGGGCCGGCCAGTTGGTCCTGGGTTCATATCCATAGTTGGCATAGAAAGCCGATACTTTGGTAGACTCAGAGACCGCCGAGTTATATGCATACTCTGCCAAAGGCAAGAGTTCTGCCCAGTCATCCTGTTGATATGAACAATAACTCCTCAAGTAATGTTCCAGGGTCTGGTTAACTCTTTCTGTTTGACCGTCCGTTTGTGGGTGGAAAGATGTGGACATCTTCAGCTTCACATTGAGGAGGCTCATGAGAGATTGCCAAAAGTGAGAAATGAACCTGCTATCTCTGTCCGAGACTATGTCATCAGGCAAACCATGGAGTCTCCAAACTTCCTTCAAGAACAATTTAGCCAAATCTTCCGTTTTTATTGAGGGTAGGAAGAGGGATGTAGTGTGCCATCTTCGAAAAGCGGTCCACTATTACCCAGATCTTTGTAAACCCACTAGATTCCGGTAGTCCCACAATGAAGTCCATAGAAATGGAAGTCCATGGCCGATAGGGTATCTCCAACGGTTGGAGCATACCAAACTTCTTGTGTCTTGAGGTCTTATTCCTCTGGCAGCTGTCACAGCTCCGGACATATTCCTCAACATCCTTATCCATGTTGGGCCAAAAGAAGTTATTTTTCACCCGCTCTAGTGTCTTAAATTGGCCAAAATGACCAGCCACCTTAGAGTCATGGGTATCGGACAGTATTTCCATCTGAAGCTTCTTGTCTTTAGGTATGTACCATCTATTCTTGTAGAAGATGAGACCGTTCTTGACCGACAAGTTCTGGTCCAAATTTGGTTTCCTTTCAACCAGGGAGCGGTGCAATTCCTGCCAGAAACTATCTTCTTTAGCAGCCGTATATAGGCGCTCTAAGAATGTATTCTGCAATTGATTCACCCTGATAGCCGCTAGCTTTGCAGGATCCAAAACCAATTGACCTGGCCTAAAAAAGATCTGTGGCTCCGGCTGCAGAGTTTCACCTCCCTCTCCAAGGCGGTGATCCCAGCGCCTAGATAGCACATCAGTCTTGCCATTCTTTTCTCCCGGTCTGTAGACAACTTTAAAATTGTAGCCTGCGAGGTCCTCAGACCATCTAGCTTGCCGCCTAGTGAGAACCTTGGTAGAATTAAAGTACTCCAAGTTCTTGTGGTCTGTAAAAACCGTGATCTCTTGCTCACAAGATTTGAGCATGTGTTCCCATTCCCGGAAAGAGGCTACAATAGCTCCCATTTCCTTATCATGAATGTCATAGTTGATCTCAGCAGGGGAGAACTTCTTAGAATAGAATGCCACCGGATGTAGCTTCCCATCTTCCCCATACTGAGAGAGCACCGCTCCCTTGGCAAAATCACTGGCATCTGTCTCGACCACCGTTCTCCTACTAGGGTCAAAATGAAGGAGGATTGGAGCGCTTGTGAACAGCCTCTTGAGTTCTTCAAAGGCCTGCTCATGTGCTGCCGTCCAATACCATTTCTTGTCTTTTTGCAGAAGGTCAGTTAATGGCTTGCAAACTTTACTGAAGCCTTCAATAAAGCGGCGATAGAAGTTTGCAAATCCGAGGAATGCCTGCACTGCCTTGATATTCTCAGGGACCGGCCATTCCTTAACTGCCTCCACCTTGTCTTCTGACATAGATACTCCTTGTTCCGAGATATGATAGCCTAGGTATTCTACTTCTCGGACATGGAAGGATGTCTTATTGATCGAGGCACAGAGCTTAGCTTCCCTAAGCTTCTGTAGTACCTTCTTGACCAATAGCTCATGCTCTTTCTCAGTCTCCGAGTAGATGAGGATGTCATCAATATAGACAACTACTCCTTCATCCAGTAGTTCCTTTAGCACATCATTGATCATTGCCTGGAAAGCGGAGGGAGCATTGCATAGACCAAATGGCATCACATTATACTGATACAGTCCATAGCGGGTTCTGAAAGCGGTTTTCCACTCATCACCTTCTGCTATCCTGATCAAATTGAAGCCGTTCTTCAGGTCTATCTTTGTGAAGATTTTGGCCTTGAACAACCTGTCTCTGAGCTCACTCATGATAGGCAGCGGGTACTTGTCCTTGACAGTGACCTTGTTCAATCCTCTGTAGTCCACACAAATCCGCAATGTCCCATCCTTCTTAGGAATGAACAGTATGGGTGCCGCAGCAGGGCTATTAGATCTAGAGATCTTTCCTGAAGACAATTCTTTGTCCAGGTACTCTCGGAGGGCCTTCAACTCGGGAGCGGAACATGGGTACAGCGGGCCAAATGGGGGAGCGGTGCCAGGCAAGAGTTTGATCTTCAGATCATTATGGGAATGCGGCGGCATTTCCTCAATCCTTTCTTGACTGAACACATCAGCCCATTCCCGGTATAGGTGGTGTATTTTCTCAGCAATATCACCTCCGTCCTCATCATGCCATACTGAACCAACCAATTGATAGACTGTTTCCTCTTCTTCTAACATCTGGTATGGAGAGACCAGTTCAATCTTGGTGGCTGCTGGGAGACAATTCTGCTTGCAGTAGTCACTCCTCCAGCTCATGGTATTGAGTTCCCAATTTATGTCCGGGTTATGCTTCCTAGCCCAACTAATTGGCAGGTAACCGGTCATTCCTTCTTCCAAAGTAGCCACCTCCCATCGGAGTGTCTCCTTATGATCTCCCATAGTCATGCGGACCGGGTGAGTATAGTACTCCCCTCCTCCCATCATGACATCTCCTTGAGCATCAAACATTGTCAGAGGTTGATCCCGCCGCACTAAGGGAATTCCATATTTCCTGACAAAACTCTGGTTGAGGATAGCTCCTGTACAACCGGTGTCAAATAGGAAAGACCCTTGGACGCATTCATCCTTTCCTTTGACCGTCCATGACAGTCCTGCCTTCAGTATAGGTCTTTTTCCATGTACTGGTAAGGAGGGAAGCCTCTGTTCCAACCTTCTTTGCTTAACAGCGGGTCCTGGACTCGTTTCTCTTTGTCTTTTCAACATAGCTAATGGCTTCGGGCACTACTAAGATCAAAGATCCTTTGGTTCTATTCCCAAGCGGTAATATAGCAGATATATTGTGTAGTAGTCTTTTTAGCAGCGGTTTGGAAGTGTCTTGGTAGCAAATGTAACTTTGGTATAGCACTGACAGACCAGCTGTTTCGGGTCTTAAACCCATCCTCAGAGTGCTTGGAGCAATCAAATAGGCGGAAACACAAACATAATTTATTTAAGAGAAACATAGAAACCAAAACCCATATAAAAGAACTAGTAAACATAGACTAAAACAGACACTTTTTCTACCAGATGATTTCATTGTCCGAGTCTTGCTCAGGCTGGAAAACAAAATCTTCTGTAACCTCTGGGAGTACAACAAGTGGATCTTCTGCTACTACAGCAGCCACTTTAGCCTTCTTCTGAGAGTTGGACTTGCCATTCCCTCTTTTCCGTTTTTGTACTCTCACTGCTGCCACTCGGACAACAGTAGGTTCCTTGGACCAACAATCGGTCCATTTGTGTCTGGACTTGCCGCACTATTGCACAAGTCAGTCTATGCACTC